AGGGAGGGAGAGAGAGAGAGGGAGATTCATATTCTGTAACTAGTACTTCCTCCTCCCTGTTAGGAACTGGGACTTCAGCCACAGCTAAATCTCTACATGTGATATTTTTCCATGGCAGCGCTGAGACAAAAAACCTGTAAAGACAGTGCTTCTTATTTATAAGCATAATTCATGTCCTGCATGAAAAGCTGTTCTGCAGTCTCAGCTTCCAGAAACACCAATCTGTTTAGTCTTTCCTTCCTCTTTAATCTTCCTTTCCTTACTTAACTTTTGGTAAATCAAAAGAACAGGAAGTTTTAATATGAAAGGGTCCTTCCATACCTTTAAGCATAAATAGCGTCTTGCATAAAAAAGCCGTGAAGAACATTTATACTATGCTTACTTTCAGATGCATGTGGCTATTAAGTCCCAACACAGAAGCTATGCAAATCCTTCTTTCCTCCCTTGAATACAATCAATCCTACTCTCCATCTAGATTTTCCCCACTGTTCCGCTTTATTTTTCCTATAGAAGACAGCCTCAGCTATCAGTGTTTTTATCATTTGCACATAATGTCCCAAATTCACAGTTTAAACCATTCTTTAGGCATTATACAAGTCAAAAAAAAAGACCCAAACCAAAGAAAAAACCACACAACTGTTCTTGCTCCAGATTTTAAAGTATGCATTTTCAGAAAATGGCATATTCAAATTAATGAGACTAAAGCACATGATCTGAAAATCCAGTAAGCCTTTAACATAGCAGGAGCCTGAGCCTTCAGGCATAAGTGCCTGAAGAATGTAGCAGTCCTAAAGCATTGCCCATGCTTCTCTCCGAGATTGTCTCTGAGGGAACCTACTAGCGAACGCTAACGAAAACAGCAAAGGGAGCAGGGTGTAGGTGTTTGCAAAGGGTGTATGTGCTTCTAAAAAAAAGAAAGGGAGCAGGGTGTATGTGAAGTGATTCCTTCCCCAGTGTATCTCAGTTTTCAACAGTCAGAGCTTTAGCTCATCTTGACAGAGGGGTTGCATCTGTGCCACAGCTCAGTACTTGAGCAGTCTGATATTTAGAGCACGGGAGAAGTATTGCTGATCCTAGTATCAATTATGCTTCATCTCATCATTTAAAAAACCGAACAAACAAAAAAAACTTTTCCAGTGCTGATGTAAAGAGAGAAATAAGCCTTCCTGCGATGGTATTGTCTTTCTGGAGCGCTCCTTTCATATGCAGACGGTCATCAGCCTTCTCCTTTGCCTCCCCTTTTCCATTCTTTATGAGGTTTCCTGCTTCTGACATGCTTCATAAAGCTTTTAGAATTAGCTTCTAATCCTTTAGCAATTTGCTACTCAAAACTTTCCTGAGCAAACCTTGAGTAACCTGCTTTGACCTCATGGTTGACCCTACTTTAAGCAGCAGGTTGGACTGGACAACATCCTGGGGTCCTTTCCAACCAGAATTACCCTGCGATCCTATGACCTTGCAGGCAACCAGGCTAGTGCAGAAGGGAAACTCAGCAGAGCATAAAACAAGATTATGACTTAAATCAGGTGACTAAGAAGACTGCTATAATAATTGAAGTTACATCTATTATGCAGTGAGGTGGGGTGGTCTCACCTGACTTGAGTATTCACTGCAGAGAATCATCAGCAGCACGGACCTAGTTGACAAGCCCATGATGTCATGTCTCAAGCATGACTGCTATCTGAGCTAATTTACTGAACAGTAGACCTAGGTATGTTTTCCACACTGTAATCCACTTCTGACTGTAACACAGACATACGCCCAAAAACCTAATTGTACATATGCAGTCAGGCAGAGGCCTTGCCCACAGTGTGAACAGCTCCGGTGGCTCAACAGCATCCTGAGAAGGGACTGCTTTGCCCGGTCTGCCCAGTATTTATTGCAAGCTGTAAAGAACAGCTCAGAAAGTAGTTGCCTTCTCTCAGCAACAGAATGGCAAAAGTTCAAATTGCCAGCGGTTCTAATTTGGCAGGGTTTATGTCAATCTGCCAAGAATACAATCTCTTTTATTGTCCTAACAAGTGAATGAAATGAAAACATTAACAGCATTAAACATAGATCTCCGTGAACAAAGAATTAGCTTCCTGCCGCAACAGCGAGACATTTCAGATTTCACTCAGCATGAACGAATACTCATTATGAAGCAGAAATTCTGGACTACAGCATGAAGATCTCTCACAGACTGTTTGTTTTACTACACTGGGAGCTGTTGATGAAGAACATTCTATATGTTGTATGGATATGCCTGTACATTTTAACCACTATGTCTTATTAGAGGTATTGCTGTGAGAGAAGAACGACTGCCACCAGGATTTTAGGATTCTTACTGGGACCAGGGACTTTTGACAAGTCACTTAACTTCTCAATTTACTACTTTGAAAAATGGTCACAGCATTACTTCAGAATTTCTGTTCACTAGTGTATAGAAACAATTAAAGAATTTTGGATTAAAGTAGGTGTTGGGTGCACAAAGTAGCATGCTCAGGCATCACTACTTCATATACTGCTAAATCAACAAAGTTCCTAGCCTTAGCTTTGACCTTTCAACACAGCTAAGACATCCGCATTTCGTTTAACAATCTATGAGCATCGCATTGGATTTTAGTCTAATTTATTTTGACCAGCTATAGAGTACGTACATTCTATACGCTGAACAAAATCCACCCCAAAATAGCATGAGTTGCTGGCAGATTGGTACAGTTCCACAACTTGTACCTACTGTATGATTTTTAGCAGATTTCCCTTCTCTGGGAAGGGAAAGCATCTTTGATGCAGTCTCCCACTCATTTTGCAATGAGTGCGACACACTGAGGCACATCAAATTCTTATATGAAACAAGCATTTTTTTTTTTTTTAAACAATGTGAGGAAAAGCAGCTAGTCATTCTCAAACAACTGCAGACATGACATACTGAAAGTCTTTATTTCCTAGTGGAAATCTGATTAAAAACATAATACTCTAATCATAGGATATAGATTAGAAACAAGATTTGGTTTAAAAACAAAAAACCTGTCTTTATATTAGAAACATTCAAGAAAAAGTACTATCAGACAATGAATACATGATAAGCAGAGAACTCCCGGAGTGCACTGCTGCTATAGTGTCCATGAGAAAGATGGATTTAAAAAACAAGCCATCAAAGACAGCTCGTTCAAGACGGTAGTTAGAACGGTGAAGGGGATGACGCAAGGATGTCCACCGTTTTCAGTAACTGTTTAGTTTTAACTAAATAATAGCTTTTAAATAATTGGAAAATGCAAACAAAGATTAACAGAGACTGCCTTTTTTTTTTCTTTTTAATTAAAGGTGAGTTCTGTATCTCCACAAATAACGAACACTTTGAACCTCTAAATCTTTTCACTTTTTTATACTGCAAAGTTTTCCTTCCACATCCTCCTTCCTCTGCTTGTTTTGACATCAGAAGTAGATCAGGTCATGCCAACACCAGAAGACAACAGTAACTAGAGAACTAATAAAATCATGGCATCTTCATAATCAGGAGGAAAGGTTAAACAAAAGGAGGAGATTTTTAGCTAAACTGTATCAGTTTTGCATTTTTTAAATATAGTCATTTAAATTCAATGACTGCTTAGCATTTTGAAACAAAGTGGCCTTTGTTGAAAGTTCAGCACTGGCACTTCTAAAATGTGTTTAGTCATTTGAACTCTTAAACACTTACAGTCCTCAACACAGATTTCATCTGCCATACGCTATAAATACAAAGAAAAGATGAAACAAACATGCTCTGAAACTCTAGTGTTCACCTAGAGCGAGCACCAAAGCTGAAGAAACAGCCAGGCTCATCTACCCCTGACAAGGGAGGCAGAGGAGAGAACATTTATTGTTATTTATTGTTTAAATACTGTCATCTTTATGCTACCTGGAAATGAAATGAATGTGAGAAAGTAGGGCTAGCGAATAGTCTCTTCTCCATGTTCACAGTATGCAGTAGTACTTGTCAGAGGACATTAGGAAAAGGTTTAATTCGCAGCAAGGAATTTTTAGATTGGATGTTAAGAAAAGGACTTGCTGATTATAAGGGTTATGAAAGTTGTGGAACAGTTGTCTGACGAAGCTACAGAGATCTTAGAGATCTCCATCCCTGGAGGTCTTTAAGAACAAGTCAGACAAACTTCATTCAGCTATGATAGAGATACAGTAATCTCACCTTGGGGCAAAGGAGCGGATTAGACAACCTTCGCAGCACTTTCAGTCTCTGTGTTTTCTATGGAGGTTGAGATTATGACTCTATTTGGTTAATCTCGGTGACCACCACCCAGGCTTGAGGATATGGGCCACTTAGAAAGTATTTTATGTTACTGAAATATTGAAGTCTGAGGTATAGATTGCGTATATCATATTTTTACCTACTTTCTCAAACTTCTGCACTTGCCGTGCAGAACTCTTACCGCAGTTCTTACGCTGAGATGCTCAAGATCTCTTTCCTAATCAGCTATGATAGCCTGTGTTTTTTCTTCCATGCGCTCTTTTGGGAAGGATATCCAGTAACAATCAGCAGGTAAATGAGTTTGCCTACATTGTCACTGCAAAGCATCAGCTGAGCTGAGAACCAGAGACAGGGCAAGCCTGGGACCTAAACCGTTTACTACTCTTTAAGTTAATGCAAGCACCAATCATTGCTGCTACAGCTACAGTGTGGGAATACAGGTAGGAGTGCAGGTTAGATTTGCAGTCCAAGCACGTCCAACAGCGTTCTGTGCAATTCCTTCAAATCTGTACTAGTAAGTCATTCTCCAGCAGCAGTGTTAGCTCAATTAGCAGCTGTTGCAAGGAGGTCAACTAGATCTACATTTCAGCTGTAAACTACTGTTTAAAGAGCATAACCAAGAAGCTGCTAGAGATGTATACACGTATTTTTGGAGGAAATACTGTTGCGATATTCCTTTTAAAAACAAAGTCCCTGTTGCACTAAAAGTGAAGTTAATGATATACTAATATGTACTGGACACTATGTAATACAGATACTTAGAACACTAAACATGACGTTCAAAAACTATTTACATCCACAGAACCATGAGTTCAACGATCACGCCATTCAAAGGGAGCATTTACTCAGGAAGAACAGTGTTTACTGCTCTAATTCAAAGAAACAAAAGCAAAACAAAATCTGTAAAAAGAATAGCAGCAGGCCACAGTGTGCTTTCTGGCACTGAATTAATAGACATGGCAAACACATTTCAGTAATATTTTCTTGAGAGTGATCAAATGATGACTGATAAAGTCACCTCAGCACAGACATAAAAGACAGACTTTGAATTTTCATAAGATGAATATTAAAATATCTTTCTCCCTCGATGAGCTAAACATTTCATCACAGGGAAAAAGAAGTGGGTATAAAGTTCAGAACTGATAACTAAAGTCCTCAGAACAGCCAAAGAGTTACAGTACCTCAGCACGTTTCTCAGCTCAACTCACCCAGGCAGCTATGATTTAAAGGTCTGACCTCTACTGTTAACCTCTACTGTTAAGTCAGAGACTTCCAATTCCCCTGCCCTTTCACCCCGGCCTCCTACTAAGACCGCCAATAAACATACAAAAAACATAGCATGGAAATGTGATATTAAAAACATACAAAAGCATATACTGGAAATGTGATAGTTCCTTAAATTATTGACAGACGGACACAATACAGTATCAACTTTTAGTCACCATCCACATGATATGACTTAAAGTAGGAACATAATTCAGTTTAAAAAAGTGGTAGAGGGCGTGCAACGGCAGGTGGAAAACAAACTAACAAAAAAACCCTAACACTTTCTCTACCTTCACTAAATCATTTTTGACTCTGTTTGTGATTTCACTACACAAAGGATGTAAAATAATAGTGCTAACAGGATTCATTACTATGTATACCAAACTTCTAAAGTATATCAAAATGTTTTTTTTTTTTTAATCAGCTTAAGAAAGAGGAAGCTAAGTTGGACAGAAAGCTCTCAATACATTTCAATAGCACTGTGAAAAAGTGTACCTTTCTTATAAAGCCTTTACAAGCACAAGGCATTATTTCAAAGATAATGTAACGCATGCTGCAACACTTCAGACTGCTGAACATAAAGAATACAATTTCATAATAAGCTGCAATGGCAAGACAAAGAACAGAGATCAGATACTTGGAACAAAAATGCACAGCATTAATAATGGCACCAGTTTTTAGTATAGTATTATAGTATTAGTTAGCATAGTATTATTCCGAGTAGATTTGAATGCAATGAATTTAGACTCATCAGAAAAGCTTTTGAATTTGGGGGTTTACAAAAAAAAAAAAAAAAAAAAAAAGAGAGAGATTTAGTTTTTTGCAAGAAAGGAGGTAACTCTTAGGCCACTTAAATCTGCCATGCTCCCTTGGCTCCACCTACACATCCTGCTTGTTCCTCTTCACACTTCCTTTTAAGCTCTTCCTGTTCCTATACATTAAGGATGTAAGCTCTTCCTTAAGACCTATACATTTAGCACGTCCCATACATTCAGCAAGCATGCTAAATGATTTCCCTCCCCCAGTCAAAACTTTCTTCAAAAAGTAAATCTGCTTTAGAGTTTTTCACTACTCTAACACAGAAAAATAAGAATTTTTTCAATTGCAGAAAAATTGCTTTTATTGTATTTATTATAGTAGAATCTCATCTGGTTCATCAGGATTCTTTCTATACATGTTTCAAGCCATAAAATCACCAGCCCATTATTTATGGTAACAGGAGGGCAGTCAGTGCTATGTCCTAGGAGCTCAGAACCGACTGGGCTGGCTTGAATCCACTGGGCTTCCAAATAAACATCACCACTCTGTTTTTCGCCTTGACACGAATAACAATACTTAAGTTAACCCTGTCAGATCAAGCTGGGTCTGTGCAGAGGCAACTGCAACACACCACCTCCGGCAAAACCCAACCAAAACATCCCCGGATAGTGAAGATCTGACTAAACAGAGACTGTAAGCCATACAGGAAAAAAGACCATTTTTTCCTCCATGTGCTTAGAAGTCAGCACTAACAAATGTGACCCAGGGCAGAAATCTCAGATTCAGTCTGCCAAGAAGCCTACTGCATCTACAAATAAGTCTGGTAGACTCAGTCATGCCCCTACTGAGGGGACCTCCACAATACTATCTGCATTAAACTACTACTTTTGGGTAAAGGAACAAACAACTGAGCAAAAGCACCTAATGAACGAACTGCCAAAACGGCTCCGTGCAGGACATGATGTGACAGCAGAAACATGGAAGAGGACTGTATTGCCAGGCCCCGTCCTATATGTAAGTACTTACGATTTTTGATACAACTTTACAGGCAGTCATAACATGATGTCAAACAACTTATCAGAGAAAGCCGTAATCGCATAGAACTCTGGCTGCTTTTTGCAGTAAAAAGCTTAAAGGATAAGACAAGCACAATTAATGTGAATAAATGATGAAGAAGAACAGCCAACACACATACGTGTTTCAGCAGAAAGATCGTACAGTGCTTTGGTTGGCCACCAGTGGACCTCCAGACAAGCCCTTGCTGGTTAGGTATTCATAAGTTATACAGAAATGGTACTTTGGGAGAGTGCTTGAAACTAACACTTGATAAAAATACATGGCTTCCTTCTTCAACTTGCTGACAGTATGTTGACTTAGCACTAGACTCCCACTTCTTTAATCGAACTACAGGCATGAAATTTGCTTCAAGAACCTGAAGCCAGGACGGTCTTTCTGTCTTCTGCATGTGTAATAGTACCTAGCATAATGTGGACCTTAATCCAGAACATAGTAACTGGGTGCTACACCACAATACATATATAAATACAACATCAGAAAACTGGAAAAAGGCACAACTAGATGTGGCAGGCTTTAGCTCAACTAAAGATTAGTAAGCAAAAATTAGAACATAAAAATCATACCTTCAGCAGTGCAGGAAGAGTTGTGCTTTCCTTCTGATTGCTCTTTAAATTTATGGCTTCATCTCCTCTGTTTTCAAAACTGAAAAAATAAATATATATTTGTAACACTGAGGACGTGCATTTTCTTCCTGAAAGCCAACAGAGTATCATTCAATTGAAACACAAAATAGCGTTAATTTAAACAGCAGAAGAACACAATTTCCAAACCACAGCCCATACTCTTCATACGTTGCAACTGAAAAAGCCATGCCTCGTATCTAAGCAAAAGATGAAAGCAAAATACCTATTCCAAGTCATATTGAGGTTTTCAAACTCAAGCATTCAGAAACAGCACATAGCACAACTAAGGCTGCTCTTGCAACTTAAAAAAGAAGAAAAAGTCAAGCTTTCTGTGCATGCGTGTCATTTTCTGCTGGAAAAATGACAGCAGAGTTGATGCACCTTCCACTGCAGCATTCATTGCCATAGCAGTATCTGGCAGCTAGAAGGTACCCCTTGTCCTTTCATGGAGGACTGTGATCAAACGGAGTGTACTCAGGGCAGATGGAATCATCCCAAACCTCAGCCAACAGATTTAATAAGTCTTCACTGAACACATCTAAAGAGAGTTTGCAGACAAATTCAGAAGAAATTTTAGAAAGGGGACAATAGGCATGTTATCATTGCCAAGGCAACACCTGCTATTCCATTTCAAAACTTAGAGGTCCTAAGTCTTGTTTTTCCTTATCACCAATGTACCCTGGACAAACTTTCTTTGGAGCCCATCTTTGGGATGACAGGAACCAATTTTTTCCCAATTCTTAAAAATCATCCTGAAGCACAATCCAGCAGACCACGTTTTAATCAAAGCCTTTATGTTACATGCAACTGAAAAGCAGAGTCAGATCAAGGAAAACATTAGGGGATATTAACAACAGACATCACTTCTTGCATTGCCTATTACAAGCTGAAAAAAAAGAGTCATACCAATATATAATGTCTGAAATGATCTGTTCTGCAATGAAGAGATATAATTACCTCAAAAAAACCTTCTTCATTTGATTTTAAATATTTACTACAATCCTGTATGATATGAGAACTCCAGTCCCAATTAAAAAGAAAACAAATGGATTTGGAGAAAGGATTTAGACACAGATTGCTACTACTGCCACTACTGACTTAAGCCACATGTGTGCAGGAATGACCATGTCTCAGTAAACCTTTTGAAAAGAAAGGTTTTATTCCAAATGTGCATTAGACATTTGAGCTAAATACACATTAATATACACACAAAATACCCAAACCAGTCTGACTTTCAGCTGCTCAGAGTCAAGACTCCCTGAACAAAAATGAGAAGGGAGCTCTCCTGCAAATAAGGTTTTTAAGATTTGTTAGATCCTTTTAGACTCACTGAAATAGAAGAGAGAAGTTCTTCCCTCTTTTACAGATCTTCCTCAAGCTCAAAACCACCTACTTTGAGATCACCACAAGTAGTCTTTCATAAAGCATTCAGAAATGCCAAGATGTGTTTTCAGGGAAAGCACATAGACAAAGTCTTGGCTATTCTTTGCTGCCTGTAAGAGAGAACATGTTAATTAACTTCCTGTCCTATTAATATCTTATGCTTCTGATATGTGTTTCATGAAAGAGATTTCACAAAGTCTTCTGGACAGTCAGGAACACTCTTAGTTAAAAAAAAACAAAACACAAAAACAAAAGAACACCACACACAAAACAAAAAAACCCACCCTTCTCTCAGATCTGCATAACTTTTCCTGATGCTGGCATGCTTGGTATCAGCAGGAGTTTCCGCTCCTTAAGAGCTGAATAACCGGGTAGATACCCACATGACTTTACTCTTGGCTTCAGGAGGTCACTCCTGATGGATCCGGTCTGTAGAACCCAAACGAGATCCTTGCTTTTGTTATGTTACAAGTACGGATTATTAGTTCTTCATTTTCTCATCACTTTCTGTTTTACTTGTATTCTTTCCTTCACGTCATATTTTTTTCTAAACTTTTTATTCACTTTGTTGCTTTTTGTTTGCATTTAAAGTATAATATATGCCCATATTACTTTCGTCTGTCAAGTAAGGCTTGGACAGTTTGCTGTGAAATTCCACTGTACACACCAAAACTGAAAGAAGATAGTTCAACAGATAAGCACCTTAAAATCGACAAATCAAAAAAAAAAAAAAAAAAAAAAGGAGCCTATCAAAATTTTCCTTTCCAGCATAAAATAAACCTAAATCTGGAAGCAATTCCCCATACCCTTTCATGGTTTATATTCTAGTATTTCTACATTCCTGAACCTTTTGCTTTAGGGTATAGTTCTACAATATGCCATCTTTGTCAGCGGAAGCAGCTTTAGAAATTTCCACACCTCCCTCCTCCACCTCAGCTATCTTTTCCCACCCTTAACTCAGGCTAGTAGAGCTCTCTGTAGGGCCACAGTCTTGGATCAAAGCAAGGTGGGGAAAACAGCAGAGCACAGTGATCCAGTTTACAGTGCAGTGATCTGAACCAGCACAAATGAAGGGGCAATGAAAGCAGGCCGGAAAAAGCAAGTAGGAACAACTACAGCCCACTTCACCATTGAAGCTGGTTTTTGATGACCTATAGCCTTAGTTGGGGCCCAGTTTTAAAAGTTCCTTGACTGAAGCAAAATGACTCACACTGAGCGAATAAAGTTCATAGCACAAAATACCACTTTGCAGAAAATGGGCTTCTTGCATAGTTTAGAATAAGACTGTTTTGTTTTCCTCACAGGAATCAAGATTACCTTCTCCAGCCTTGAACACCACACATATGGTGCCAAACACCAACACGTGGCATTTGGTGCCACACACTGTACTTGGGACTGGAGAACAGGCCGGCTCTTGCTCATCAGACTCTCAATGATACAGCTTATCTCTTCATGTTACTAACCCCTCACCACATTTAGGGCTTCTCCCTTTGCCCCCTCATCATCATTTACATCACCTAACAGTCCACAACCACAAGTTTGGTAACATTGTATAATAGTCTGCCCACAAACTCTCCCAAGACAAAAAGTTTACAGGGCCACACAAGACCCTTCAGGTTAAACCCCCATGTTAAAAAAACACACAGGGGAGCTAACGTAACCGTGCCACACACATTCTTACGATGTGACATAATACCATGTTGTCCAGCGGAGTCTTCATTCAGAGATGCAGTGAACACAATTATTGAAACTATGGCATTCACAATTCCAATTAATTCTTGGAAAATATGTAAGACATCTAATACTTATGATAAAAAATTCCCATTTTTTCAATGCATTCACATGCCCATGCTATTCTATAATTAGCAGCTAGTTGTTTTACTTCTAATAACTATATTCTAGAGTTTCTTTGCGGTTTCTTCTACAAGACAATCTGTGCTACTAAATGCTGTTATAAACGATGATTAGTTAGCCACACAGTATTACACTTCTCAATTTCTATGCCTTTGCTAAGAAGTGAGAATAAAGACTGATAACATGCACAGGCTCACCAGGGATTTTTTCCCCCCCCCTTCTTCATAGTTGGGCTACATTTTTATTATTAAAACTTGTCTCTGTAAGAGTTTCCCCCTTGCCTTAAGCTTTCCTGGAGCAGTGCATTCCTGGAGTGCTTTACCATGCCAGGTACTGCGCATGCTGTCCCCAGTTCAGCACATCTAAAGTTAGGCCTGTGCTTAACTACCCATACAGCTTCACTGGATCAGCCAGTCAGCACTCAGAGGGGAATTCAGGTCTCCCCTTGTTAAAGAAGGAAGATGAATCTCATGAAAAGCAGAATCTTCAGTCCTACACTTCACAAACTACCTGCGTTATTTTCGATACCCAGGGACTGGACGCTACTAACCAGAGTCTAGCAACACACCTAGAGTTTACAGATTCAAGCGTGCCAAGTGCTAGCTCTAAAACCTCTAAGCAACCAAAGGCCTTGAAACTTCTTGACTGGTCACAGGAGTTTCCTCCCTAAAAATGGGTCTTCACGAAACAGGACCACAACTACGTTCATGAAACAAAGGACACGGTGTGCCCGTGCCATTCCCATACCCAGATGATGCTTACTACTCCCACAGCATCCAAGGTCTGAGCTACTGGTGGGGGAAAAAAAAAAGTTTCAAATCTACTTTTCAATTACTTTTGGGAAGAGAAAGAGCAAAGCGTATTGCTAGGATAAAAGCAAACACCTCTGCCCTCCAACTCGTTTCCAAGGACTTCTTCACTAAAAAGGCAGTCATTCACAAATTCTTACAACTGCTTGTTCACATATTTAGGCAGATATACTTTAATTTTATGGATTTAAAAAAAAAAAAGGGTGCAGAAATATTAAATAACTTGCCCAGAGTAAGAAAGGTACTATCAAAATGAAGATTAGAAACCAGGCCTCCCAAATGCTTGTCATATCGGTAATCCACCATCTTTCTATTGCTAATTTTGTTAGACATCCCCTTTTCTCGATATTGGATACACTGATGTATACAACAGGTTAATCTTCAGCTAAAGTAGAGGGATCTTTTCTCCTCGATTGTCTTGCTGCTCTTCTCCACTGTTCTGCCAGCATGACTATCCTGATTAGTATCACTCTTGTTCTTTAAATAATCAAGATGAAACTCAAGTTACAATAGATCCCATTCTTTATCTTCTGAATAAACCTTCCTTTATATGATTTTCTAATACTTTCTGTTGCTCTGCTGCTGAAAATTTGTTTTGTCCTTTCCGTAATACTAGGTCTGGTGGCGCTGGAATCGGGAGCAGATTTCTGGCCAAATTTTTAATCAGTATACTTGTACGGGAAAGGTTAGAGATTATTATGGGGAAGACAAATGTTCATTTTCCAGTGTTACTCACAGACAGATCTCGAAAAAGTATACACATAAGCAGAAGCACTCAAATCCAGGTTAGTTAATACACGTGAGGGATTACAGCCAAGAAAACCAATTCAAAGGAGCAAATCAAAGCACATGGTTTGTGAGATCTTTTCCAACTAATCTCTAAAAACAGAACAAGATAATTATAAACAATTACATCTTCAAAAGGCCCTCATAGCATCTCTGCATAGTGTTAAAAGTCTGCTTCATCCATCTTTGCTCTCTCTAACAATCCCTCTGAACTGGCAAATTAAAAGCCCATCCTCGCCTTCCTTCAGGAACCAACTCCACCCCTATCACGCACACGTGAGATTCGGAACGCGCAGTGCTAGATAAAAATAAGCTATAGGCACTACAAAAGTGCAGTGAAACACAAACATGTGAGTTTTGATAAACCTGACCAGATGTAAAGCTCAGCAAACTGAAACTAGCTGCTGTGACGATGTACATCCCTCTTACAACATATCTGCTGCTGACTGCTGCTTGGGAATGGAGAACTTAACAGGCAGTCTTGGAAATGGGAACAGTCGAACCAACCGTTAGTGTTCAGACGACTTGAATGACATTGCAACTACACATCTAGAAGTCAACCCTCCCTTCTTCTCTCCCCTGTGAATACTTTGACCATTTAGAAGCAGTCGTTTCTGACATGGCAGAATTTATTTTTCTCATAGTCCAGAGCCTGGCGCTCTCCCCGAATTTGCCATCTCTCTCTTCTGGGACAGATCACTTCCCTGAACAGTCAAACCATCTTTACCACCACATTAGGCTAACATCATTTATTTTTAACTCAGTTTCTCTTCAAATTAATTCAGAAACTGCAGTCATTTTATATAGCAACTTATAATGGTAAGAGAAAGGCAAAGCCCAAACTTGAAAGATGTTCTAGGGTGCTAAGAGGCCAAAAGATTGTGCATTTAGCTTTAGTGATGCAATGTTAATAGATAAGCCTGACCTATACATATAGCCATCTCTCCACGTTTAATGACATCACTTGTGACATCTCCTTCCCATATTTCCACAACAGTTTTCCTTAAGATTATGTTTCTGCTTTAGGATTGATGATAGAATTCACTCTCTAGTGGAGTCCTTGCTTAGGTGATGTCACTTTAGCCCTTCCCGTCTTGCTAGCTTCTTTACTGCAGCATTCTGGGATGTAATCCCAGTTCCCTACTGCTACCTTTTATCCTTCTCTGAAAAAAATAACGCTCCCCTCTAGGAAATTACATCTTTACATCTAATTTGATTTTGACCTCATGATTTTCCAACTTTCTTTAGTGCCAACATAATGACACATTCAGTGGTGACCTTCAAAGAGAATATTTCAAACCTGGTGGAACAGAAATATCGCTAACAAAAACCTGATCATTGCAGTACTTTAAAATACAGCTGTGAGAGCCTCCCTGAAGAACGTGAATGAGAGGAAAGCTGCAAGTGTAACAAACCTATCAAATATAGATTTGCAAGACCAAAATCTTCATGACGTTTCAGCACATTACAGGGAGCCTAAAACCACATCCTCTGATCACTAGCAGTTTATGAAACTTTTATTATACATCTGCAAAGAGTCATAGGTTAGCTAGTACT